CAGTTTTGTCCTCATGGTAAGGAACTAAAACATTACCTTCTCGTTTTCCTAAAATACACATAATGATGGAACTCTTCATCTTCCTTCTCTACATCTATACTTCCACCTATGAAAAGTTATCCACATTGAGTCCCCAGCATCCCCTAAATAAAATTAATTATTTGGCTTTAATGATAGTGTACATCCTGGCTGTGCTGCATTGCAGTGAGTGTGTGTGTGTGGGGGGTACTTTACTTATGCGGCAGGATGTTTATAACAGAGGAGACTCTGTAAGTCTCTTCTGCCAAAAAGCTTCTTAGTGGCATTCCGTTTTTTTCTGCATACTGAGCCACGCATTTGCAGCTCAGTGCACAGACTTGGTATGCCAAAATGAAGTAACTCTTGTGCACATGCATGGGAGCTATGTCATAAGGGCCCAAGCAATCATGCAGCCAAAGACTCAAAACCCGAAAGAGGACCCATCCAAAGATGAAAGTACCGTAGAGCGTAGCGCCGGAGGTGATGGGTTTGGCAGGTAAGTCTGCCAAATTGTGTTAATATGCTGTTCATACTAGTTCATTATGGCTAAAAGCTCCTGGGGAACCATTTTTTTAAATAAAAAAAAAGAGAGCTTTTCTTCCACTTTAAATGGGAACATCTGTTTTTGTTACAGCTGTCTAAGAGGGAAGTGCCTCACTTACTGCCGTGTCTCTAGAAAAGGAAGGGAAGATACATTTTGCAAAACTTGAAAAAAAAGTGCGAGCCCTATCTCTTCCACACTGTATATAAATCTAAAAAAAGTTTTGGCTTTAGATGTACTTTCATTTGGTTTAAGTCAGACAAAGAAATGTATGTTACTTTGATGAAAAAATATACTCTAAGTTAGGAATAGTTGAGACTGGTCAGGTGGACTCCTGGGAAGAGTACTTACATGGTAGGAGGTGAGCTGGACCTTGGTTCAGTGTTTATCATCCTCTCCCTGTTATGACTGTGAAGCTGTTAGGATTAATTAGTCTACTGGTACATTTGTAACAACTCTGGAAATAGCACCTTTTTGCTGCTGTCATAACCTTCCCTCCTGTTCCTGACATTATGATTATCATCTCTCCTGCCACCAACATTGTTGGGGTTTTTTTTGGTTGAGGGGGGTACTGGAATGAAATGTTTCATTTCCTTAAGTAAATAGTACATCTTTGTCAGAAAATGTCTGAAACAGCATTATTATTATTTTACAGTAGTTAAAAGAGAACTATGGGGAAACCTTTGTATCCCATAGTTCTTGTAAGGGTCACGGGAGGACATATACTACAGTTCACTATATGCTTCACAGCCAGGACAGATCCCGACAATACTGTCGAGATCCACCCTGCTAGCTTATTGACAGCGGGCTCCCCCTCCCCCGTCCATTCCTCTAATCAGCGCTGGAGGATAGGAGAGGGGAGGGGGAGACAGATAGGAGACAGTCACTGCTCTCTGCAGGGAGATGATTGGAAAGTGAGCGAGCAACGGTATGTGTTTGCTCACTTCCCGATCTATTGAGCCGATGTGTGACAGTTTAATTGTAATGCGTCGGCTCTGACTATGCAGATGAGTGATAATCACTCACCTCATAGTTCTCCTTTAAACAGCACCTAGAAAAATAAAAAAACTTTCAGAACTGAATTTGAATTTGAGCTCTAAGGGTTGGGTATGGAACTGCCAGTCAGCTCTTAGCTATAAAATTAAAGCTAAAGTCAAAGGGTAGATAAAGTGTAATCATTTTGTATATGCAGTGGTACAATATGTAATAAAGATTTACTTTAATACTACCTCTGTACAGCTCAAACACTAAAAAGATTAACAATGCTGTGCTGGGCAATGTAAAATAATTTCCTTAGCTGAAGAGACAAAATCAGCATAATTCTTGTGTATAGGAATGTGATGAGAAATTCCGGTTTGTCAAACTATGGAGCATTTTAAGCTGAAAACAGGATATTGAAAACTTTATCTCTATTCCAGAGAATAACAATTTTCTGATGAAACAAATAGAAAAATGTCATGCAGCTATGCACGGATACTATCTAAATTCTCTCAAAGGACATTTTACTATAAAATGCATTTGGAAACAACAGTGAGATTATGCATGGAGTGATTTGGGTAACTGAGTATAAATTCATAAAAATAATGGCAAATGCATGCTTATATAATGAAAATGTTAGCATTTAAAAAATGTATGCATATTTAGTCAATTTTGACTGTGATTGTTTACATTGTTTTTGTCAAGGAGTACATCTACTGCGTTTAAGAGTGCAAATCTCCTTGTCAAAGTGGGAAAGTCAAAACAATAGACAAACATTATTTAAAGTAAACCTGCAATGAGAGGTTTTATCCTTTGATAATTTTCTTACAAAACAAATGGAAACTTGATGTCTATGTGTTAAGAGATGATGCTACTTACCACTTATGTGCACAGCTTGTGAAGTCATCTCCACCCAGGAGCATCTGCAAATAAGCTACATTTTTGTTAATAGTTAAGGTACTTAAATGCATTTTTTTGATTTAACTCCTGAGTTTAGTGTCACTTTAACCCAACTATTCCAAGAGAATAATCTCTATCCCTTATTCCCACTGTCCCTGCTTAAAATCTGCATAAATAAACTGCATACAAGTTGGCAGCTGCCTCATATATAAAAAGGTTTTTACTACTTCAGGCTGTTGCACGTGCTCTTATACAAATTAAGTGTCCTAAAACATTTTAGTTATGTCAGTACTACTGACACACATATAAAAACTGGAATAAAATGTCATACAAGTGCTGGAGTCTTAGTCCAGCTAAGCCCAAGTCTTTCTTGCTAAAATCCATCTATTCTTTTCAAAATATTTTAGTCATAGCAGATAGCTTCTAATATGTTGAGAATGTATTGGATATGTCAGGCAGCCTGTTTTGCTGGTTGCAGCCCTGTCGGGTGTGGGTGTAGGTGTCTGTGTGCCTTGCAGGCTGTAGCACTAGCCTGTGGCTTAATGAATCTGACCACAAACACCCCAGCCCTGGGATTGGCCTTGTCTCTGGTGGCTCACTATTTAAGCATCATCAACCTGTGCCTCTCTGTGATAGTTATTGTTACACCAGCTATCTCAGCATATCCAGTCCCTGGAAATCTCCTTGTCTGTCTCTGGTTCTAACCTTGGCCTGCCACCAAATTATAATTTGCCCACTGCCAGCCCTGACCTCAGCCTGTGCCTGGATTACTTTTGCCAGCCACCTCCCCTGACCTCAGCCCATGCCCACATTACCCTTCACCAGCCTTTGACCTCAGCTGGTCCCTAGATAACTTTCTGGTTGTGTCTTCCATCTTCGGTCCATATCTCTGCTTGGTATCTGAAGCTGGCCTGTGGCATAACTCAGTTAGAGCATATAGTCTAAGTCCTGGGGGCATCCAAGTAGGCACACTTGCCTTATGAGAACAGCAGCTGCTATAGGTGGAACAACTTGTCACTATTTGCTCAGACTATGTGCATCCGCAGCCAGTCCTAACAGTATACAAACTGTCATTTCTTGCAAGTCATACATAACTCAGTATATTACCTTAGTCTGTCTGACCAGACTAAACCCAAACAATGAATTTGTCTTATTTGCTCCCTTTTGGTTTGTTAACTATACGATTGAAAGAGTTTTGTTATATCTGTTCAATAAGTGCAAATGAATAAACAAATACATGAATAAGTAAGCACTTGTTGATCCTGATGGTAATCAAGTGAGCTCATAATGTCCTGTTCACACTGCAGTGTTATAGCAAGCATTCTCATCAACCCTGCCCAGTTCACCTGTTTGTACAAAGAACCCATTCCTAATCTTATGCAGATGTGACACGGGCTGTGACAGGTGACAGGGACATCAGTATTTGGTAGTCCTGCCTTAGGGTGACAACACTGCTCCTCCAATGATATAGTCCAGTGCGTGACTGTTAACCCCATGACAGGAAATGTAATGCAGCCGCCACACACCAGTCCGGTGAGCTGCAATATATGATATTTTTGTTTTTGGGTTTAGATACATTTTAACTCTTTGCTTAGTTTAAAATGTAATATGTCACAAAGGGAAGAATTCTTAGCCATGCAGTCATTTCCTCATTAATTTGGAAAAAAAAACAACATATGTTGCTGTATGGGTTTAGGTTGCAATGTAATACTAAGTACATTTTGGACAAAGAAGTTTTCAGTAATTTATTTTTGCACAGTCTGGGGAGAGAGCAATGTTGAAGGCTACCATATCTATGCATTTGTCTTCTATATCCAGTTGGTGCTTTAATAGAAGGTGCCAAACGGCTAACTACTTAGCAAAGTCAGCATGAGTGTAAAAAGACAACACTATTTCAATGTTATTGCTGTGTACATCAACACTGTGTTCTTACATCATGTTTGATAGATTAGCTTTTTATAGATCTAGCTAACTAGTATTTTAATCTAATTGAATAGCCATATTACATATTTCTGATTTTAAGTAAACCGGACACTAATTTTCAGCATGTCATGACTGGGTAGGTTTAACCCAGTAAATGATATTATTCCTGTAAACTGAGGTTTTTGTTTTCTTTTGTGGTCTAAGAAATGAAAGAAAATATAGTGGGGCTGGAGGGCATGATTTTTGGCATTGCCAGCTAATAGATGGGAAATTGACTGAAAATCGATTGCAAGGGATAGAAGGTAAATGTTAAATGGTTATACTTTGTTATTTTAAAACTGAGTATCCAGTTCTGCTTTAAAGGTAAAAACTAATATGGAAAAAAACGTTTGGGGTTTATAGTGTTTTGTTTGAGTCCCTCTAAATCATTTGACACTCTGATGTCGACCTTATTTATAGAGTAATGTACAAGGTGAAGCAACATCACACATCATCTCAAATCCTTGTATTGGTGTTTTAAATAAGATCAATTGTGCCTACATGGTATGGTCAAACGAATAAAGATCATTTTGGTATTTTGTTATAAAATAAGTGTTTTTCCTTATGAGCAACAAAAATAAATGCAGTTTTTGTGTTTCAGATTATTGGAACAATTCCACTTATGCCAAATCCAGTATCATCAAATCAAGCAGGAGGTGGAGCTCAGGGACTTCAAATGCAGCCCATCACACCACAACTGCTGACCAACGCCCAGGGACAGATTATTGCCACTGTAATAGGGAATCAGATTTTGCCAGTGATCAATACCCAGGGTATAACACTCTCACCACTCAAACCCGGACAACAGGTAATGTGCCTTTATTTTATTTTAAGGACCAACTGGAATTATGAATGCATAATTAAATGGTGGCTGTTGCTCCAGTGACATTACAAATACAGCATTTTAGTCACATTTTGCTTCTTTTTTTTTACATTGCAGCTTTTCTGTACACTGAACATACCATTGTAGTCATGTTTAGGAAAATAGGCTCACCTGAGTGATATATGTACTTTGTTTATTTTTTATATTTTGTTTAATTTTTTTTTTCAATGTGGACATTGCAGTCTGTAGCAAGTAAGAACTATATAGTCATACTTGCCCCTATTCCTAAATTGATCAGCGCTGAAAAAAAGCATTGCCTTCTGGGATACTGGGAAGGCTGTGAATCCCAAATCTTACATGAATGTGCTCGTGTATAAGGCTTACAATGCCTCTTTCCAAGATTTCTATGTTCACCACATACTGACAGAAAAGAATCACTGTAGCCATAATTGATCTTCATAGAGACCAGACAATACAGAATGCAGTAATAAAGTCCCTTATGCTAAACATTCTGACAGCAGATCATTGTGCGTAATGCCAAATGTTAACTACCTGGAACAGACTCCATTCATATTTATTACCAGAGATAGTAGTATCTATATTGACTCATGCTGCCGGCTGGTTGGAAGCCATGGCATATGCAGATCCTCCTGGGTGGAGATGACTTCTTCACAAGCTGTGCCCATAAGCGGTAAGCAGCATCATCTCCTAATACACGAACATCAAATTTCAATTTGTTTTGTAAGAAAATGATCAAAGCATAAAAACCTTATTTTATAACATAAGCTTACATTTAGAGGCAATTCTACATCTGAAATCCAAGCTATTTAAAAACCAACAATGCAGTATTCCACTTACATTCTTTTCAGGCTAATAGAGGTGCATTAACTGTATATAAATGTATTGAGGGGAATTTATCAAAACAGGGGAAGACAAAATCTGGAGCAGCTCTGCATGGCAACCACTCAGCTTCTCTCTTTCATTTTCAAAGAGTAACTGAAAAAACTGACAAGAGAAGCTGATTGACGACTATGGGCAACTGCTCCAGATTCTGCTCCAGTTTTTATAAATACCCCCCACCCCCCAATTGTATACTGAATTATTTGCTAAAAACAACGTACTATTGCTGTCTTGAAACAGCCAAATTGTATTGGGGCTACCATGCTTTAGACCCCCAGAGCAGTCTCCTTTTTGGTTGTACTATATTTACTTATTTCCAGTAAAGTTTTTTTTATCATTATTTCTAATATGCTGTCTTAAAATAAACATTCATTCTGACAATCTGTTTTATTCTTGGCTTCATCATCCTCTTGAAAACATTACAAGCTGTAACAGATTTTTCATCTGCCTGGTTGTTACTACATTACATAACACTGCAGCTAAAAGTCATTACCTTCTTTCTATATACTGTATGTAGCAGTTGTGATTGCTTCATATTGGAAAAATCTATAAAATTTAAATAGCAAATAAATAACAACAGTTGCATGAGAATCAATGTAAATTAGCACTTTATTGGTAAATGGACTTTTTGGGATTAAAGTTTGGAAAGGTCAAAGGACCTCTTCACATGCACAAGCGTGTAAATGCTCTGGTTGATTGGTTGGCAATACAAAGTTGATTTGGTTGGCAATAAAAAGCTGAGCTGTATGCATGTACAAGATTTGCAGGCCGTGATCGTATGCATTCATGCAATCTAATAGTCCACTTGATGTAATATTATCACGTCTGTCTAAACCTTTTCATATGTCTAAGTGGCCATACACTTCCATCACTGCAAAGCACAGTAACACATTACCGCAAAGCACAATGCATGATGTCCTGTGCATTGCACTGTGGAAAAATGCAGCCTACCCAATTTTTATGTGCTTTGTAGTGCATTTCAGCCCATTCATTTTGAATTAGCTGTTTAACACACCGCAACTCAATACAATTAAACTCTCAACGCATGTCTAATTCTTGCAGGGCAATGTGTGTGAATCTTAAGTTTATCCTATATCAGCCATAATGCTTTCTATGAAATTCATGTGCAGTATACATGTGCACCAGCAAAAAAATCGTTTAGTTTTGTTTCGAAAAAAAAAAAAATTGGTTTCGTTTTTGAAAAAAAAAAAATTGTTTAGTTTAGTTTTGTTTTTCAGGTCCGAAATTAAATTAGTTTCGGACAAAATTCGTTAGCGGTAGTCCTGCCGAAATTCATTTATGAAAAAAAAAACCAACAACTTCACTCTCCCATGGCTGGACTTGAACCAGCGAACTTCATAATGGCAATCAATGGCAAGTATGTACCTCTAACTACTACTCTATAGCCTCTATACTTTAAGCATTTTTCTGCAGTCTGTAAAAAAAAAAAAAAAAATTTGCTGCAACGGAATTCGTCCAATAGCAAAATGAGAAATTACATTTAGGTCAATAGGAGAATGCCAATTCAAAAGCAAAGAAAAAAAAATCTTTATCCCCTACCTTACCCGGGACTAGAACCTGCGACCTTAACAATGGCAAACCTGTCCCCTACCCTCTACGCTATTGCTTATGTACTTTAAGCAAGGAACTGTTGGAGAAGGCAACTGTTGTATTTTTTTTTTAATGTCGCTTTGCTGCAACGAAATTCGTTTAATAACGAAATCGGGAATTTCGGATTTTTTTGCATTCGTCTTAGCTTTAATTCGGAATTCGGATGCATCCGAATCTCCGAATTTCCAAAAATTCGTCCAAAATGAATTTCGGAACGAACTGAATCGCACATGTCTAATGTGCAGCCTCTTGTGGATAAAAAAAGCATAAAAGCATTGTAGTTGACTATGAGTCAGTGGCATGATCCATAAAGGAGAAATTGGTGACAAAATCAAACATGGAACATCAGCATGATTGTTGCTGGAGTGCTTTTGATTTTCCTCATCTTGACCAGACAAGAATTATGATGTTTTGCACTGTGTGGGAAGAGAAATTATCTTATGAACAATTATGATTATTTGAAATGGGTAGAGTATTTATCTGATGAAGGATGGTATTATGTTTAACATTTCATCAAACACAACATTTATTTGCATGGATGCTCAATTAGTACATAAGAAGTAGGAAAGGGTTGCATGGAAAGTAGGATGAGATAACCTAGAACATAGGATACAGGAACAAGAGCTCAGTAGCCTGTATATGCAAAATAAAAAAATCTGAGTGATATCAATCTAAGAGACTTCAGGAAAACTTCATGATACATTTTACAAATTAAAATGGTTAGAAGTACACTGGTCATGAGATAATTATGTAGGTTGCAGATGCTTACTTCTGCTTTTGAGAATGTTGGCTGTAATGTTATTGTTTTGACTTAAATGTTGTCTGAAACACTGACCTGGAACAACAATAGAGATAACGAGCCATGACACTCACTTACAACATACCATGACTCAATATTAAACTCTCAGCAATACTTTTTCACAATAAATATAAATTGCCCAACGACCTGGGGATTTTAACCTCTGACTTTTATCTAAAACTATTTCTGTACACAAAGTAGAAAAAAGAAGGAAGGAAGAAACAGGATTTGTTAAGTTGCCCACACTCTACCAATTATCTATTTATTCAATGTATTTAATCAGCCATTCTCAAGAACATATTAGAGAATGATGTCAAAGGGAATGTACTCTACATCCATTGAATTCTGTTATTTCACTTCTTGACACAAAACTAAATTCAGTGCTGAAAAGAGTCACTAATAGAGATTTCTCTTGTTTTTTGTAATATTGATTGTCTTCCGTGAGAAAAATACAACTTCTCTAGTGATATTTTATTATAACATAACATTTAGAAAGTCTGTAAATGGCAAGTGTTTAATTTATAGAATTCCTCCCTTGACTGTAGCATCAGGTGGCCCTCAATATGCCCCTTGTCAGCACATTTTTTACCTCCCTGATTACCACCCTAGGGTGTAAACAAAAAGATGTTATCACAGTGACCATTCATTTGACATACACAGAAAAAAAACTATAGGGAAAAATATCTGTAAAAAATAAGTCAAGGCAACTGGACTTGCTGTATTTTTCTTGAAGACGTTTCACTGGTCATCCAACCAGATTTCTCAATTCAGAATGACTTGTACAAGAAATTATCTGGGAATAAATATGGTGAATGTTGCTCCAATCCACATAATCTGTTAGTCACAACCATGTGTTGATCACATTTGAATACTTGGAGTCTAGGAAGTGTTATTAACCTGCCCAGAGAGAGGTGTTAAAACAGCATTGTATGTTGCAGACAATAGATGTCTCACCCCCCCCCCCCTCCCCCACTGACATC